ATGATGAGAAGAAGAGATTGCTGGAGGAATTCAGCGAAAGTTTTTTGCTGGAAGCTCGGGAGAAATGGAGCGAATGGCCGAAATGTGGAATTTGGAAAATGTTAAAATTTTTCGCCTTTTTCATTGTATAACTGGGCGGGCCTCGTATTATTTACTCTCAAAAATACAAACGAGTCGGGCCTTAACTTTCCACGTAAGCTGGCCACGCGTTATATTTTTATTGGCTACTGTTACATACCGAACACATCGTTGTGATCGGATTCCACACAGAATAATTTCTCCAATACAACCCATGTGTCAAATTTTATATCTAGACCTATACCTAGATCCGGACCTAATAATTTCCCAATTAGACACTAACAAAACTAGACAAATAGGAATTGATACGCTATTGCAGTGGACTCACCGGAATTGATAACTTGGCCGTCGCTGGTATCCACAGGGATTCGTTGGAATGGTTTTCTGCAGCCGGCACATAGCCTGAAGAAGCTTAGGGTTTCCTAGTTCTTCTCCCCCTTTTTTTTTTTCATGTTGATCAGACAATATTTCACGAATCCATCATTGTTCCGTTCGCGGTTTAGTAAGGGATGTACTTTAGGATTTATTTTGAAGTGAAGTTCTGAATCCGTTGGAGGATGTCGACTATTATGGCTCCATCCGTTGTGCCGGCGACGATGGCTCCTTCAAGCAGTCGGATGGAGTTAGCGCATCATCGCCTCTATGAATTTGCAAAGAAAGCCTTGATAAAGATTTTCGTCTCTCCGTATGCATCGGTTGGGTCTCCACAATGCTCCACACGGCCTTTTTTCTTCTTTTTACTTCACTTTGCTATTTTTCTTGCTTTCTTTCTCTATTTATCGTTTTCCTATTCCTGCTCAAGGTTTGTGATTTGTACTGTGGCGGCGGAACTGAAACGGATAAATGGGACGAAGCCCAAATAGGACACTACGTTGGAGTTGGTATCTACTGTTTCCTTATATATGCTTCTTGACTCTCTTTTCTATATGTATTTTTTCTTTGATTTTTCCACGATCCAAACAGATACATCGTCTTCTGGTATCATCGAAGCTCGTGAGATTTGGGAGAGCCAGAGGAAGCCCTATACTGCGGAGTTCTGTGAGTTGGACCCTTCCGTTGTGAGTTTTTTTGGTTCCTCTTTTCAAACTATGTGATATATACGTGTTAATTTTAGCTATCTTTTGTTGGATTAGACGAACGATTGATTTATGGTGGTTTACTCATCATACTTGTTGCGTGTCATCAATTATTATGTTGATTTAACCATTTATCAAGCGTATGAAAAACATATAATAATGATCAATAGGAACTCTCTTAAAAATCTAGACTTATATTCAATTAAGAAATCAATGAGTAATATTTATTGAAGATAGGCTAATTAAAGTAGACTTATGTAGTTTTGAAATGTGCAATGAATGTCATAAAATGTGCCCATATGATGAATAGATAAAATTAATGTCAAGTGATTAGAGAATGGTATAAATTGGAGAGATTTTGTTTTGCATTTTATTCAATATTGTTGTAGTATTTATACTATCATAGAAGAGCTTCTAATAGGAAACAAACAAAATCTGGGAAGAATAATTATAACAGTCAATGGATTTATGAATAAGTAAAATAATAATTACAAAATAATTATAATGGTCCACGGATTGATGAGGTGACAATACTAGCCTATGAATCATAGAGGTGGCATGAAATGAATAAAGATAAATAATGTTAGGCTTGGTTGAACATTGATTTATGCAAAATTAATTTGAATTGATTTTCCACACTTCTCAAATAAATGAAGGGATATTGTCCATTTTACGCTTGCATGTCAATTTTGGAAATATTGCTTCTTATTTTCTATTTGTGAGAATGTATGCAAGTTAGCCATTTGAGGCGATGTATAGAGTTTATATTATGCCACTATCAAGCATCATTTCTTATAATATCTCTATTCACTTCAATTTGTTTTGTTCGTTCATGTTGTATAAGCACTATCGTTGCCAGGTCTTAAATCCTGGATGAGAAAAGTGTAGGGTTGCATTAGGTAGTTGACAGCAAGCATAAAACTTATCAAATAATCATGACATGAATCATTTGATACATTATTTTAATGTTAGGGTGTTTCCTGAAATTGACATGTTGTATGACTTGAATATAGCTAGAAGTATGCAAAGGTTGCCGCATCGGCGCTCAAGTGCAATGTTATATAAGCAATAGTTTTTATATCATGGATGGATGTGCGCAAAGAAGCTAGTTCATGAAACTAGAATTATGATAAAAACTTGGAATATTGATTTTCTTATAGGAAAATTAATAGAATAAATAGATATTATGAATCATAGGAAGATAAATGTTATATGCATTCAAGAAACTAAATAGATTGGAGAGAAGGTCAAGGGGATTGATAGTTTAAAATTTAAATTATGGTATTCAGGTGGAATTCATACTATAAATGATATAGGTGTGATAATAGATAAAAAATTGAAGTATAATGTTTTAGAAATTAATAGAATTAGAGATAATATTATAACTTTAAAAATTATTGTTGATGTTAAGATTATCAATACTATAAGTACTTATGCTCCTTAACTAGGTTTGAATATATGTTCAAATTTAAAATTTTAAAATGACTTAAAAGAATTAATACAAATGATACCTCTTGAATAAAATTTTTTTATTGGAGGAGATTTAAATGAACATATTGGTACAATGGTAAAAAATTTTAAAAGCATTCATAATGTTTATGAGTTTGAAGCAACTAGTGAAGGTGGTAGGACCATATTAAATTTTGTTATAGCTTATGATTTTATAATTGTTAGTACCTTATTTAAGAAAAGAGGAAAGTTCTCATTAATTATAAAAATGAATATGGTAAAACTCAGATTGATTATTTCTTATAAGAAAAATAGATAATTTAGATTGCAAATATTATAAAGTAATTCCAAGTGAAAGCTTATGTACTAAGCATTGTTTATTAGTTTTGGATTTTAAGATGAAATGATGGATTATGAAAGATAGAATTAAATATTATCCTGGGATTAGATGAGAGCGTTAAAGAATGCTAATAAAAATATTTTTGAAAGTAAGATTTAAGATTTTAAGATTTTGATTGTGCTTGAGGAATCTAATTTTATGTGGTAAAAAGTAGTTAGTGATATTAAGAATGTTGTAAAATATATGCTTGAAGCATCAAAAAGAAAAACTGATAATAGTAAAAATAGTTTATGGTGGAATCAAAATGTGTAAAAAAAAATATATATATAAGAAGATTTGTTATAATAATTAGTTTAAATGTGAAAAACTCAAAAGATTGAGAAAGATATAGAAGGACCCGTAAGAATAGGGCTGCAAACGAACTGAGCAGAGCCGAGTATGTGAGTGTTCATGTTTGTGTTTGTTTAACATTAGCTTGTTCATGTTTGGTTCGTGTTTGATTCGAGCTTTATTATTTGTGTTCATGTTTGGTTTGTTTAATTTTAGGGTGTTCATGTTTGGTTCATGTTTGGTTCATGTTCGTTTGTTTAGTACTTATCGAGCTTTAAACGAGCTATGTTCGTGAACATATCTCGCAAACAATCTATTGAACAAGCAAACATTAAATTTGTTCTTGAACATTCTAAACAAACAATCTAACAAACATGGACAAATATGAAATATTTCTTGTTCATGAAATGAAATTTCTAAAATAAAAGCAGTTGTATATTTAAAATGAAAATATGATTAATTTATATGAACATATGTTATAATATTTTATTACTTTAAAATTTATCAATAAAAAATAATTATATTATATTATGGTATAATTAAAGTTTTTATATTTAATCGAACTCGAATCGAGCTTTTTATCGAGCTTGTTCATGAACATCAACTGATGTTGTTCGCGAACATAAACGAGCTGAACGCATTAGTGTTCAAGCTTGTTTATTTAAGAATCGAGTATTTAAAATATTGTTCAAGTTTGTTTGTTAGTTAATTAAACGATCACGAACGAGCTTTAATCAAACCGAACAACGAGTAGTTTGTCGAACGTTTGGTTCGCTTGCAGCCCTACGTAAGAAGTTTAAGAAAGAATATGCGATACAAAAAATTTAGCTTTTAATGATTTATATACTAAATTAGTACTAAGGGCTGAAAGATATATGTATAAATTAGCCAAGTAAGTATATAGGAGAAGTAATGATCTAATTCAGGTGAAGTGCATTAAGGATGAAGATAAAAAATCGATTTTACTAGAATGAGATATTAACGTAAGTGGATTAGATATTTCGATAAGCTTTTCAATGAGGATTGTCAGAATACAATTGACTTTAGTGACCTTAGCATCTGAAAGGAAAATAAAAATTTTTATTTTTATCATCGTATTAGTAAAACTGAAGTTAGAGAGACTTTAAAGAAAAGAAAATGTTGAAAAATAGTTGGGCCTGATAATATACCAATCTATGTGTGGAATTGCTTAGGATATGAAGATATTTCTTGACTTACTAAACTTTTTAATATTATTTTGAAGACTAAAAAGATCTCAAATGAGTGGAGTGTGTTGATTCTTATTTTAAGAATAAATGTGATGCCTAAGAGTGTCCGAATTATAGTAGAATTAAGTTAATATGTCATACATTAAAACTATGGGAGAGAGTAATGTTCAAAGTACTGCTAAAATCGATGGGGATATTATTATCATAATTAAAGTTAAATGGTTGAAGTGGAGGAATGCATTGGGCCTATTGCGTGATAGAATGGTACCCCTCAAACTTAAAAGGAGAATTCTAGGAGATGGTGGTGAGGCCTGTAATGCTTTTTGGCATAGAATGTTGGCTATTAATAGCGAAACATAAAATTAATGTTAATAGATCGAGTGTAATTTTATTAATAGATCTAGTGAGGGATTATGACTTTGAGCAATCAAGTCATTATAGAGTATATGCTTTAGATATCTCGAGTCTATTGTTCAAAAACTGCTAAAATCGATGGGGATATTGTTAGCATAATTACAGTTGAATGGTTGAAGTGGAGGAATGCATTGGGCCTATTGCGTGATAGAATAGTACCCCCCAAACTTAAAGGAGAATTCTAGGAGACGGTGGTGAGGCCTGTAATGCTTTATGGCATAGAATGTTGGCTATTAAAAGAAAAACATAAAATTAAGTCAAGTGTTTTTGAGATGAGGATGCTCAGGTGGATGAGTTGCTTTACTCGTAGAGACAAAATGTGAAATGAATATATACATGAAAAGGTTGGAGTAGCTTCAGTGGTAGATAATATTAGAGAGAGTCGCCTTAGATGGGTTGATCACATAAAATATTGACTTTTTGATGACTTGGTTAGGAGCCTAGATGCATTATATCTAGCCTATATTAAGAAAGGTAGAGCTAGACCAAACAGGACTTGGTTAGATTAGAAATGACATTTTTTATTTGATTTAAATGAGAATTTGACTCTTAATAGGACACAATGAAGGAAAAATGATTCATGGAGTTGACCCTAAATCTTACATGATAGTTTGTAACCATAAATAGTTTGTAGATTCCTAGTGCCATAGATCTAAATTTAGCTTCTACCTTAAATCTTGACATTGTATTTTATTTTTGCATATCCAAGTCAAGATCTTGTCTTCTAAGAATATGCAATATCTTGAAGTTAACCTCCTATCAATCATAAATCCTTTATATTCAACATTATATAGGCTTAAAGTATTCCATCTTTCCCCTTTTGAATATAATTTTTTTACCTAGTGGTTTTTTTAGATATTATAAAATTTGATATACAATCCTATGGTGTGATTCTCTAAGCTTGTACATGAATTGACTTACCACACCAACATTATGAGATTGTGCTTGATTCTCTAGTATATGATAAATGGAGAAGTTTTCTAAGAAGTCTTTGATATGATATTTTTTCTATGCTTATGTTTTTTGGAGCATCTCCAAGTTTATGATTAAATTTCATAGGGCTCTTGACAGACTTGCATCCCAACATGCTTGTTTATTTTAGTAGATCTATTATGTATTTCTATTGTGATATAAAGATCCTATGTCGAGACTTGAGAGTGTGTAACCTCTTTACTTGACTTCATATCTTAGAGAAACTTTTTTTTTTAAATCTCCATACCTTCCAAATCTATACATGTTAC